CCCTATTGTCCCTTCCTTGTTGTCACGCGCATCTGCGGCAAACATCAATCGCGCGTGCTTTGAATTGCTAATCCCCGTGGAGGCCTTCGATTACAATTCGCCTTCAATTTGCAACTGCGTAACGATATTGAAATAATCTCGACAGATCACCGTCTCCCGAGGCGGTTTCGCGATATCGTAATTGCGATCGCTCCGAGAAACGGAGCGTTTTTCAAATGGAATCGAACTAAACTCGCGTAAACGCGGTATTCGCTTCGGAATTTAAAATTATGTAAAATAATATGGAGATTGCGCCAATTTTGTCAGAATAAAACGTAATTGCATGGTTTTGGAAAGTGCGATCGTCCCGATAGCGAGAATGTATTCGGCAGAATTCACAGAATTCACATAAATTCAATGAGGATGCTCCGTGTCAGGATTTAACGGTAATATTACTTCTCAACAGTGCCCAATCGTCCTTTATTAAAATAATTACTTGCGTTATAAATAATAAATAATGAAAATAACTAAATAAAATTAATTAATTCTATGATTAACCGACGATGAAAACCCGCGATTTATATCAGCAGTAAAATCTTTTGTTGACCAATATTAAAATTGCAATTGTAAGATAAGATAGAAAAAATGATCGCACTCATGAATTGCGACTAAAACTTTTATTGTATGAAAATTATAGTGTAATTTAAAATTCTATTGTCACATATGCAAAGAATTGATTCTTTTTATTTTATTTTTTTATTTATTGCATAATAATATGATACGATTATGTATAATCTGCCAAAACTTGAAATATCTCGAATATTTTATACACGTGAGCGGAGATAAGTTATGACGTATTCAGATCTATTTCCGTGATAGCGTCAGATACTATAAAACTACAAAAACACTTTTACCTTCTCATTAAACCTTTGTACCCTTGTGCGTATGATGATTTAAGATTGTGTCAAGTGTATTCTGATAAGTACAAAGTGAAATTTGTTGACTGGTGAAACGGATATTAAAAGATTAAAAGCACTCGAGTTTATAAAATACATTTTTCATTTCTGTATAATTGATGAGTGATATTAAAATATAAAGAGATTTTGTTAGATAAAGCATTATGTTTCTATATTAAATTTTATATATTATATATCTGAAATTACATTGATATATGATTCTCTTTAATATTTACATCGCCAAGAATTCAAATACATTTTGGATTCTTGCACTATTAAAATTAGATAAAATAGATAGAATTAAAAGAAATCTATTTGAAAACTCCAGAAAAATTGTAAGACTAATTTTATAATATTAAAATGCAGTACATTAAATATTTGCAAAGCTGTGAATAAAATTGCAACTTAAAATATTAGAAGGATTTTTCAAATGCATTTCTCATTATCGCGACTCGTTGTTGAGTAATCTGTTATATCAGAATTCGTTGCAGGTCTTATCGATTAACAACAATTATTATTGATTAACTATACTTATTATGTCATATTGACGTCACTTTTAACGTCTTCAGTAAAAATTATATTAGTTTACCGTATTCGAATTTAGTTTATTGAATTTATTCGAATAGTTTATTGAGTTTTTTCGAAATTTAGTTTTGAATTTAATAACAAATAGATGTCACAAACATTACGTTTGATTATTATTTACGGACATATGTTTAAATCGCATTATAAAACTTAATTTTATGACGTAATGAAAAAAAGTTAATTTTTTTAATTACGTGCACCTAGAATTCCTATCTGCACCAAAAGTAATCTTGTCTGGTGTTGCTCAACTTGCTACGGCCTGAACAATTAACACGCCTAGTAGAGCGTGCGTTAATCACGGAATTTTTCTGAACTCCGTAACATTCCACCAGTTTTCTTCCACGCCTAATCTCTCGTCACCTGTTTCTGATATGGGAAACTTAATTACAATCATTCTTGTTCTTCGATAGCGCAGACAACGACGTCCAGCGATTATACCTGAACAGTCGGGACTTAACAATTGTATTATGATAATTATTATTAACTTGCTGATTGTTAAACTGATAATTGCTGACGCAGAGAGTTAATAAAATTACATGTCTGCATATGTATGACAACAAAATTGAAATATTGTTTCTTTGATTCTGATATTGACTTGATGTTGAATGTTTTAAATGTTATCTTATTGAAATATATACTTTTTATACTTACCATCTCTGCAAGTGGACATTCAAAATTTGAATATGTATTTTGAAATAAAAATTTTTTTATTACATCTAATAAAATTTAATTAATAATTATTAACATGTTGCAGATGTCAGTATAAAATTTTATAACACGCTCTTCTCTATTCATCTCTTTTCAAAGAAACGATTGTTACGATGATATTACGATATAAATTTTAGTAGTAACGCAAATCTGACAATGCGAAATGAATTATTGTTGAAACGCTGGAATTCCATTTTAATATCGCATAAGTGAGTTATTTGCCGGCGATAATACGCGTGGCTCTGACAGTGGTAAAAAATACGCGCTGCCACGAGTCATTGAAATTATATCAGAGATTTCTAAGTATAATATAAGAGATATGAAGTCTTATGTTATCACGAATAAGTGGATTAAACAGGAGTGTTTTGATAATGAAATTTACATTCCTGGAAAGATAGGCAAAAAATTCATACGAACATCCATCTGCCTGCCCAACAATATTTACCGCCTATACGCCAATTTTCATATTAATGTTTACACAATCAAGTTTGCTCGCAATTCCTCATTAATCGGGAGCGTGGTACACCTTCACGTCATATAACGAATGCGTAACAACCATGCGCGAATCAAAAGATTATATACACAAGACATGTAGATTGATTAAAAAGAGTACGTGCAGCATCTGTAGGTGTAACCTGTAATTTTATTGAAATGATTTATCGTCGCCACTAATTGACATTGGTGCAATAAATATTTAATTTCCTCACGGAGAAACAAAGAAACAAGGACCTCGGCGCATTGACGGTTGCGTGTTTGTCGAAGGAGTTAATGCTTTTCTTAGCAGTCATTGGTAACGCAAACACACCAAACAAGATAATTATATTTTCTCTTTAGCAATTGAATACATCATTAACACGACATTAACCGTTTTATTAATTTTTCGATGTTCGCAAATTATCATATCAAATAATTCTGTTATTGCATTTGTATAACGAATTTTGGAATATTGTTTGCGATATGAGATATATATATATATTGAAAAATGTATGATATATATATTGAAAAATGTTATGATCTTTAAGCGGTAACAAAAAAAAAACTCGAAATTTTTTATCCTTATATGTATCGATTAACATCATATCTAAGAAGATTCTATCGTAAAAAAGATACATTATCAGATACTATGTCGCATTATTGTTGACATGTTTGGATATAAGGGGGAAGTTTTTTACAGTCATACATTTATAAACCGGATACACATTTTTACATTGGTATTTGATTTTTAATAAATAGCTTTGATATACTATCTAAACATAGTGGAATCTTCCACTATGTTCGATATAAATCGTGCGTATCGTTAACGATGCATCTAATTAGTCTTGTGGGCGTGGTATTGTTTTGAAGGACGTATTAAATGATCGCATCCACACATTATGCAATTTGTACATTTGTACAGCGCGATGTAAGAAAATTTCCCATATTCGTCACGTTACAGCTTAACTGCATATAAAGAAGATGTACGAGCCGTGAGGAATTATGCAGATGTCAACCGACAATTTATGCTTTAGGAGCGCAAGAAGATTGCCGCAATTTGCATGGTCGAAAATTGACCGAGCAAACGATAGACATTTAGCGAATTTTTGAATTTTCAATTTACAATTCTCCAATTTCTCCACGCAGATCACAAAAATCATTCCTAAAATTCGCAACTGAATTATTGGGGCATACAATGAAACAAGTACTCGTTTTGTACGAGAGTAAAAAAATTCTAGGAAAGAATTGTTGCTTATCACATATAAAGATAAAGAAGATATTCATATACTAATATTAGACAATCGATCGTGTCGATTCAATTGGACTTGACGGAAAAAGCCGGACGAAACTTCCTTATTAAATTGCTATCTATAATCATTCATATCGCCACAGCTGCGGGCATGGAATATTACAGGATAATTCAAAAATAAACGAGATATATGCTCATAATTTCCAAGCGACTGGTTAATATGCAGTTGTGCGACATGCCTATATATATATTTATGTTTAATAATCTTTGAAGAAATTTTCAAAATTTTATACTTTTTATATTATTATCGAGCAGTTCGTAGATTTCAAAAGTCGATTTATAAATCTGCTTGTCCGCCTGAAATGCCTGCAAATTACTCCGATGTGTATCACGTAGACTAGCGTGACTGCGACGATATCGTAGAAAATGCATAAAAGTGCGACCTTCTTTTTAAATTGCTTTGTAATGTTCATACATATACACGACAAGCCCGTGAACTCGCTCATCAGCCGCGTCCGATTATTGCCTTAAACTTATACTTATACTTTTTGTAAGACTTTTATAAGACTTTTTATACTTATGTATACGGCGTTACGTATTAGATAATACAATCGGAATCAATGATCGTCGGATATAAGTACGTACGAGTAATAGACTCGATGTACAATGCACGATAAGTATCAACATTCATGATAATAACAAATATCTCCAAAAACTTACTCCAAGTCCAAGTAAACCTTTAAAATACATTCAACTTACCTATATTTATTTCGATTGTATATAGAGCAGAAAGAATTTATGCGTTATTAATACACGTGCATCAATTAAAAACTGCGATTTTACATCTTTCTTTATATCAAAACTGTTATAGCTATTACACGTTTTATTTAATAAAAATATTTATGATACTTACAGAATAAAAATAAACAATATTTTTTTAAAAAAGCTAAATATACGTAACGCCTGTACGATATATAGATTTTTTTTATATAATTAAAATTTTATTGATATAAATAATATTTTTTGCAATTATATATTATATTCAAACACACACATAATCATGTTATTGCTGCATATTTCAATAATTCTGTTACATGTTATTGCAACAATAATTATATGTTATATATTACTATAAATAATCCATATTTATTCTTATAGGATGCTCTGCAAGATGTAAGAAAGGTTTCTTCATTCAAGGAACGTCGGAATGGGTAAGTATTAAATACATATTATAAAATAGATTTTATGAAAATATAAAAAAATCTCCTTTTTAAAATGTGCTTGGCAAATTATTTTTCAAAATTTTTATTTTTAAATTCTAATAAAAGATTAATACTGTAATCTAAAATTAGCATAGAAATATATAACGAGTTATATCACTAATATTTACTTTCATTATCATTATATCTTGAAAATTTGAGCCTCAACACATGCTTTGTTTAAAGTATAAGCTCTTTATAAAGTTTATATTTTTGCAGTTACGATTCGACAGCTACGAACGAAAAGCATGATAATATTTACGTCCTGGAACTTGAAGAGAAGAAAAAAAGCATAGTCGAACAGGAAAATGATTATGATCCATATGATTACAGAATAGTGGAGCATCCAACTACGTAAGTTTTTTTAAAATACGTAATGTATAAATTAAAACATATTTTATTTTATTCATACGATACGTAATGTGGTAAATGGAAAGAACGAATAATTTGTCACATGAGAGAAAGAACATGAAGTAAACATAATTGTTTATACATCAATTTTAACTTCAATATTTATTTTTAACATTTTTTATATTTTTAACATTTTTTATTATTTAAATTCTGTAAAAAAATAATATTCTTAATGTAGAAATTTAATATATGTAGAAGAAAAGAAGAAATTGTTTTAATATTTTTATCATTAAATTTATTACCAAAAATAGTTAGAACTAACCCAAAGATTAAATACGTTTCTTATAATGGAAAAATTAGCAACTATCTCTGTTTAAAAATGATAGACGAAAGCATTTGAAATTAATAACGTAGATATCTTCGGATATCTAATAGTTTCAAGGATATGTAAAGTGATCAAATCAAAAAGGGACATCTCCGATTGTACAGATATCGTAACATATGTCTCTTTATCTTGATTATTTTATTATCTCGATAAGTCTGATATTGGCGATAGTTTTTCTGTACTTGCCAAATTTTTTTAATTAATAAAATAAGATTGTACAAAAGACAACCGATTATCTAACACACTGTTGAATAATCATTTAATCGGGATTTAGTGATCATCCGATTTATTGAAGCGTTAATCAAATTGAGATATGATATACAACTTGTCATTCAAGGTGATCAAGAATATTATACAACTCGCAGTACTTCCCTTGCACGCGAAATGACGTTTGATTATTCCTCATACCAGTTGTCTCATTAGCGTAATGTTCTAATCAGATTAAAACACTTGGTAAAACGTGATTCCTGATGAAAATGCGGAATGCATGATTGTCTCATAGCACTTACTACTCACCGCAAGATTATTAATAATTTACATTAATTATTAATAAAAGAATTTAATCTTCAGTTTAAATATATACATTTAGTATTTATTTTACAAATAATTAATTTATTCGTAACACGTCAATTAACTTGCGTGAGACAAAAGTTGCGTGCAAAAGTTATTTCTAAAGGTCTATCCCATTTAAATCTCGTAGTTTTAATACGATCAGGAACAATAAACAAAAAGAGTTGAGTTTCTTCCCAACCCGTGATTTTTCAGGAATGCAGAAACTACGCTTCACTTACTAAAGGGTAGTTTGGGCACCGGGATTCTCGCGATGCCAATGGCCTTTCACCATGCTGGATACGTTGTCGGCTTGTTTGCCACCGTCATCATAGGGCTCCTTTGTATATATTGCATGCGAATTCTCGTTCGCTCGGAGTATGAATTGTGCAAAAGAAAGAGGGTGCCGTCCATGACATATCCGGCAACCGCAGAAGCCGCTCTGCTGGAGGGACCAGTGTGCCTCAGACGGTTTTCCAGATTTTCAATGTGAGTACGTCACGTCTTTTTTTTTTTTTTTTGGGTAATTTCAGAAAACAAAACGTAACGAGGAAATAGATTTGTCTTTTATTTCTTACATTTCTGTTGTCGCTAGTAAAAATAGCTGCATTAATAACGAAGTAAACCACGGCATTTAGGTGCTATATCGTATGTAATCCAGTGTCTGTCGTGCAATAAAATTTAATTGCAATAACGAGACTATACTTAGAGATCGGAATCACTTTTAAGCTACATTTGTATTACGTGAAAAACTTGTATTCTCTATTTGCAGACACATAATAAACGTCTTCCTGTTGATATATCAGATGGGCACTTGCTGCGTCTACATAGTTTTTATTTCTGAAAACCTGCACTCGGTGAGTATCTCTGCTAGTTTCAGCTTGTAATATCTTATGCATTTCACGAACGTTGTAGAACTCAACGCTAGTAAATCTCAAGTAGACTTTCATTCTTAAGTTGCAAATGTTACTTGTTTAATATTCCACTTATTCCATGCATTATAAAATATACATACATGCATGATACACTGCGAAAAGATTAATTTTAATGAAGTACATCATCTTCAGCTGAATAAATATTCAATCAAGAAAATCGGTTTTATTATAACAGATATTTTTACCGAAATAATATTAATTAATAAATATATACTTATTAAAATAATTAATTGGATTAAAAAAATATTATAATTTTATAACTTTATATAATTTTATCATAATTTAACCTCACACACATGTAAGCACGTAATTAATTTCACTTCGTTTTCATTTCGCGCTACGTCTCGATAACTTGTTTGGAATCTTACGCTAATCAATTTGATATCGCATTTGATATCTGCCAGTATTACGGAGCGTAGGTAGAAAAGGGAATAATCTAGGTCAGGGAAATACATTGTAAGAAAGAATATGCGAGTAGACAGTCACTGATAATTAATGCGTTTACGATTGAGTCAAGGTGATCGTAGACCTAAGACAAACGACCGGTCATCGACATTCTCGACGATGCTGTAGAGTGATCGAAATCGAAATTATTACTTGTTCTTACGCGAATTTATCCGCGTGAAACGCTGAAACGTTGTTTGCACAAATGTGATTAGTTCGAATTATTTATATCTATATATACAGGTTAAAAACTAGGAAGGAATAAAATTGAATAATTGAATAATTTGTAACAAGTAGATATAATAAAATGAATTAAATATTATGTAGAAATACATCATTTTTATTTAGTGCAAAAAGAATGTATATGTGAACTTGTAAGAGAATGCATATTATAAAAAAGAGATAATTTGATTTGTGGCTCAGATTTTTTTGATAATTATCTGAACAACCGAGATACTTAAAAACCATTAATAAATGCATTTTCTTTACATTAATAAATGCATGTTTGAAGAATATCAGGAAAATCCCTTTCGTGAAAATGATCACTCATTTCAAAATCTTTTTAACGTACTGAATTGTGCAACCAGGCAAACTTTATATATATTTTTCTATATATTTTTCTATTTATTTTTACAACAAATTTATAAATATATAAGTTTATTTATATTTATAAATATATAAATAATAAGTTTATTTATAAGTATAATTTGATAATAATTAATTTAACAAATAAGTTAATTTATAAGTATAATTTTTTTGCATTATATGAAACGGTGGATTTCTTTTGTAGAATAGTAATTTATTTTATCCTGTTTATTTGTTACAAAGTAATTGCTATTTAATCCCAGCCATTTCTCAATTGTCACACTACAATTAACATCGGCATACACGTCACACGCTTGACGCATATACAACAAACGTATAACTCAACATAGAATGATAAATAGAATAAATAGAGCAGTATAAATAGAAAGTTGAACAAGAAGACAATACTCTCTGTATATTCTTTTTATAAAAAAAGAAGAATTATACCTTTTATATCGTAAGATGCATCTTAATGTTAAATCATAAAAAAATCGCATTGCAAATTATAAAGGTTACAAACGCATATATTTATGTTCATATCTAATCTATTCGTATACTAATCGTATTTCAATTGTCTTTATTCCATAATCCTGTATTCCGCGTGAGTTCGTCACGTGAAATCTCGCATACACGCGCGCCGAATGATTTATGGAATTTCTCTATCGTCGGTCGCACGAGAATTGTTGCAGCGGCACGAAACGAATGGAATCTTATCACGAGTGTAAGATCAAGTGGAAGTAAGAGTCGCCTGCAGGTCGGACAAGCGCTGAGTACTTAAGTATCGTTCACATAACGATTATACGGTGTATAATAGCGTAAAAGAATTTTTTGTAATGTATTTTCTGTTACTCCACTCGATGATTAACGTACGCTTTTGACCTGTAAAAAATGCAAGACAAATTGGACGGGGAGGCCCAAATTCCTGCGACCCAATCATTTGGAACGTGTATATTGTAAAGAGTTGTAAATCCTTGATGTTATATTTTTATTTAACGAATCAAGCACCTCGATCATGCGCAAGGTAAGAGGATACGAAAAGCAACTTGACTAAAAACGACCGGTGCTCAACGGATATATCGCATTTTGCGAAATGCAAAGTTCAAAAAAGGAATTTTTCGTTCTGCTTTCGCTGTAAAAACTGCAATTGCACCGCGGTCTGTTTGTATGACGTAATTTTGCAATATGCCACGGCGCTAAATCTTATGGACGATACCTTAATCGCAGATTGGAAGGCATTGCGTAGTTTACGCGATGTAATAGATAGTTAACTATCGTTACGACACATATGTTATTACGGCAACTAAATCGAATGTATGTGGATACACAACGCGTACGTTTCGCGTAAACCTGAATGCCGCCTGCATTCGCGCAAACGAGCGACTTCAGGGTCGGATGCGAAGTGAACGGAACTGCAAAAATACATTAATGGGTTAATATATCGCTTAAAGAGTCGTATATGATTAAACGTGAATTATATATCGCTAAGTATCAAAATGGATCAGAATATTATTAAATGTTCTAACGTGTAATAAAAATTACAAAAATGGAAAACTTAAAAAGTATGGAAAAAAATAATGAAAAAGAAAATATATATGTAAATATATTATTTTTGTATGTAATATAAAGAAATTTTGGAACATTTAAATATAATATTATATAAGTTTTATATATTATTAATTTTTTTAGACTTTTTTTATATTAAATTCATGAATCGATAATCTTATTTTTCTTTGCATCGGGTCTCTAAAAATCTTTTGCATGACTCTACACATACATACATAGGTATAACGAAACATTGTTAGTACAATTTAAATGAAAAATGAAACAAGAAAGTAACATTTTAATTTTTGTAGGATTTTCAAGGATTTATCTAAGGAAAAAAATCTTATTAATCTGACGTATATCATATACTGCTTACGTGCATAGAAGCAATTGAATAAATTATTTCTATAAGGAAGTTTCTCTAGTGAGATTATTCACTACGTGCGTTAAATTATCGCGAATCTATTCTATAATTCGAAACACTTTAACATGTCTTATGCAATAATTGTCGATAAATGATTATTAGAGACTTCATTTGTATTACTTTCAATAATTATTTTATCATTTTGCTTAAATAATCAATTCGTTTAAGATAATCTATAAGATTACTACTCTTAAGATTACTACTCATCATTTTATTATCACAATTGCAATATCTATCGTACAATTAATCGTAACGAGGGCAATATTAGAACAAGAAAAAATTATATTATTACAGTCATTGGCAATCGGATTAAAGATGATATTCCCAAAATGAAAATCTTCAAGATGTTTTGGATTTAAATATCATGATATAAAATTATGTTTGTATTTAAAAATTTTTTTTTCTTTTCAGATGCATATTGATATTAATTTCTCTAAATGATGGAAGAATTTTCTATTTTTATGAATATATTGCCTTTCGATTAAGAGATAATTAATAGCTATAACTAGACTATAATAGATATAACTAGCATTAATGAATTAGTAATTCTCCTTTTACATCACAAAATGCAATTTGCCTAAATGCAGAGACATTGACTTTCAAGGGTGCATTCAGTCGCATTCAATTGCATGTCGACGGCATGTGTTACATCTATCTTACATAAGACGAAGGCTAGATATCCGATAACGATAATCGAGAAGCGTTAAACGATGGTAACGCGCCCATTTCCGTCTGCCCTTGAAATCGAACCAATGCAGTTAATGACAGAACGTCAAAGGTGCGAGAGCAAACTCGTCATACGGCGAATTAGCTAAATATTTAGACCGTACAACGTTCATAGTTCTTTCATCACAAACTGTCAGAATTAAAAAATATGTCATTGATATCATATGGTGTATCTTCAAGAGCTATAATTTTAAATTCTTGGAGTCGTGACAAATCAAAAATTTTAAACAAACGTAATATTCGATTCGAAGCGCGGCTCTGATAGCGATACAAAAAATTAGTTAACATATATCACACATTAATCATACGTGACGAATAAGACTACATTTATTTTCTGCGGTTTTAGTGTTTTTTTTTCTCTTTTCCGAAAATACGAAGAATATTCAGTACGTATACATTATGTCAGTTGCATATATTAGCAATCTGAGATACAATGACGCACACATTATGAAATCTTTTTACTCATGTTCACGTTTATTTGGAATTATACAAAAATTGATTACATTTGAGAATTAATTCTATTAAAACAGATTTCCGGACCTGTCAAATTCTAAGATATTAATAGTATTTTTCTTTGTGTATCAAAAAGTTATATACTGTTATGTAGATGATATATGGCATGGCATATATTGTGATCTACAAGCATCTATTTCGAGCTTTTTTTATATTTATTACTTCTTAAAATAACAAATTCTTTCAAACAAGTTTTTTTGAATATTTAAGAAGATATAATAAAATTAAATAAGATAATAAAATTATCATAAAAGGTTATCTTAAAATAATAAGTTATCTTCATTAAATGAAAATTAATTTTTACTATTGTTTCTATTTATTTTTATACACGATGATTTTTATTTAAATTCTTTGAAACTTCTATTAAATTTTGCACAAAATTAAATTTAATTTTCAATGAAATGAAATTCCGAATGAATGAGAAGATGAGCGAAGATAATGTCATCCGTGCGTCGTTATGTTTTCAGATGCTACGTGATTGAAACACGTAAGTGTCATAGTCTTGGGTCACAGTCTCAAAAATTTTCTATCGAGGACGTGCATAGGGAAAATGATGATCAAGATCACATTGGGGAAAAAAGACGGTATGTATACGTATGCGACTCAAGAAATCAAGTATTTAATTACATATTCAAACGTGTCAACGTAATGTGATGTAAAACAGAAGTGCTGATTACACTCCTCTCGACACATGGTTGTCAATATGATTAGCGTATTAACGGAATTGAGTAACTTCGTTATCCTTCCAAGGACTCGTTAGAGTATTTTAAAGATTCTGTCATTTTTATAGGCTTATGTCATGGTGTTATTTAACGCGTTATAAAATAGGTATCGTGTCGTGTGTTTAGTCAACTTTACTACAAGAATGTAATAAAGTTAAAGTTAAGCTACAAGAATGAAAGGATTAAAGAACTTCTCGTATACAATCTATGAAAATCTGCATGTTATTTTTCATCATTAATTTTTATTTTTATCCAAGAGTAAAAAATATATAGGATTATATCTATGTATTTAAGCACTATTTTTATTATAAATAAGAGTTATTATTTTAAAAAATATATATATATATATATATTCTTTTATTAGGCAATCAAATCTCTTAATACTATAATTAAATAACACAATTCTTTTGTTAAGCGTTAAATATCGTAATAAAATGTTCAATAATTTAATGAAATTATTATATAAAATATTAAATGTTTATATCTTATGGATATAAAATTTTAGAAAAATCAAACCTATCTTGAGAATGTAAAGCAAAATTAAATTGGTGTGTACATTATTAAATAATGTCACGTATTATTTTTTTTTTCTTTCAGGGATTACAAACGTTCTTCGACATAAAGGTGGATATATATATGACGATCCTTCTGGTACCCTTGATCTTAATTAATTACATCAGGAATCTTAAATACTTGACACCATGTTCGACACTAGCGAATATTATCATGTTCGCTGGATTCGCTATCATACTTTACTTTATTTTCGAAGAGCCGTTATCGTTCACAAATCGCGAGCCGTACGGCGATGTTACGAATTTTCCGCTCTTCTTTGGAACCGTCCTGTTCGCTCTTGAAGCCATCGGCGTAGTAAGTAATCAAACAAAACACTGTTCGCATACAACAGAGTTGTAAAATTTATTTATTATGCATCGACATAATTACATTAATGTGATAATAAATAAATATAAAAAGAAATTAAAACAAAAATTGAACTTATATATGATAATTTATATTATTTCTTTATATAAAAAATAAAGTTTCTCATTATTTTTGTAATATGAAGAAGAGAAATTCTCAGTCATCTATTAATACATTTTCCAAGTACAAATCTCTTTTTTATCGTCATTATAATTTGGTTAATTAAGATGGTTAGTTTTTACTTGTATATGCTTTAAATATAGTAAATTTTTACTATATTTTTTTTTAGTAAATTTTCTAATTGTTTCCTGTTTGTTTTTTTAGATTATGCCTTTGGAAAACGAAATGAAAACTCCCAAATTTTTCATGAAACCATGTGGCGTCTTAAATATCTCAATGGGCCTCATAGTTGCGATGTATGCCGCTCTAGGGTTCTTTGGATACATACGCTATGGCAGCGAAATCAAGGGCAGTATTACGCTCAATGTACCTGGCGACAAACTGGGAATTGCCGTTAAAATTCTTCTGGCTATCGCCATCTTTTTTCACATATCCCATTCAGTGTTACGTTGCTATCGATATAATATGGAACGAATATATCAGTCATACCTTGAGAAGTATCGTTTTAAGTTAATCTGGG